CTTTCCTTAGCCGCGGCCGCGGCGACCATTTTGTAGTCCCAGGTACCAGACTTCTGGCTCAAAATCCCGCGGCCTCGGGATAATTTCGCGGCCGCGGAGTCATGTCGCGGCCGCGAAGCATTTCTTCGCCGCGGCCGTGGCGAGTAAAATCGGGCAGACACCCCCTCAGCTTCAGAGCCGAAAATTCGCGGCCGCGGGATGAAGTCGCGGCCGCGGCGAACAAAACATGTCGCGGCCTTCATATTTTCGCGGCCGCGGGCAGCGCGATTTAAAGAGGAGTTTGAGCAGGTTTTGGGACATTCTCCTCTAGCACAAATATTTATCCTCACCGGCGAATTCTCTCCCCATCCTAGATCATCGAATTCACTCTCAAATCTTGCAACATCTCAAGGAATTCATCCTCACAAATTTATTTCCTCATCACGGACCTTCACGAGCAAGAAGTGGTGCGAATTCGTGGCTTACCTTCGGAAACCCTAAGGCGAAATCCCCTCTGAAATTTCCAATTGGGATCGCCTCCAACCGCCGACCCTCGCCGGAATCGCGTCCGTGACCTCCGTAATCCGGTGCCTATTCATCTTCTTCGTCCATCACTCGTCCATATTCGAGTTCATCTCACGGGTCACCTACCTTCGAGACATCCTCATCCGGTAATATCGAACCTTGCTCTTGTTGTGAAAAAAAAATTGAATTGCGAAGTTGGTTGGTGAAGAGTTGAGGTTGAGTTGAATCAATTTGGGTGTCTACCATTGTCTTCTTCATCCAAGCTTGAACTTAAAACTTGTGCACCCAAGGTGTTCGACAAATTGCCCGAGCGACTTAGAAATGGGAAAGACTCCGATCCGCCCTACAAAGAAGAAAGCCGCTCAATCCGAGCCGGCTAAGAAGAGGAAGGCAACCGAATCCTCCTCCCGACAAGCTCTTTTGGACGATGATCTCTCCGACCAATTCGGTGCCCCTTTCCCGATTTATTCCCGGAAGGAAGGAGAGACGTACTCCCGCCTTTCCCAAAAAGAGGTGGTGCGACCTAAGGCGGTGGACTGGAACCTCTTGAATGACTTAGGCATTCTCGAGGACGTGATGAAGTACCTCAAGGTCCTCAACCTTACCGAGTATGCAAAAATGGAAGAGCCGTCCTATCGAGGCTTAATGTTAGAGTTCTTTAGCTCATTCGTGCTTGCCGACGGGAACGAGTACTTCAC